TGGCGAGCGAAGGCGGAAACACAGGGGAAGGGGAGGGGAGATATATATAGATAAATAGATAGATAGATAGATAGATAGATAGATAGATAGATAGAGAGATAGATAGAGAGAAAGAGAGAGAGAGAGAGAGAGAGAGAGAGAGAGAGAGAGAGAGAGTGAGAGAGAGAGAGAGAGAGAGAGAGAGAGAGAGACTCTATTCAAACAGCGAGTCAATTCGCAGTTATCAGTCACCTTAAGGAAGTGGTCAAACACTCATTGGTCGTCTTCCCGGATTGCCATTTACACTCAGACGGAAATGTTAATGCGAGGTTGATGTTAGGTCGTGATCTGTTTGACGACTGACCACCTTTAAGAAGTGGCAGGCCACCTTCAAGAATTGGCAGACCACCTTCAAGAAGTGTCAAGCAGTCGTTGGTGATGGTTGTGTATTTGTTTCCCTCACGTTATCAGTTGTCGGCGCGGATTGCCATTAGCACTTCCAGGGAATTTGCATGTCCGCGGCGTGTGAGGTCCTTCTGTGGGATGCATCCGAGACGGTAACGTATCCAACGGGGGCTAATAATACTACATGTATGCAATGTCGAGCACCCATCGGCACGTATACAAGCAATGAAAGTGATGACGAGCCTTCTGCATCGGTAGAAATGACCACCTTCACGAAATGCCAAACAGTCGGCGGTCAGAGGACTCTAGTGCTAAAAGCATTCTTAGGGGACCTTGAGGTCGTGTTCAGAACTTATTGGCGTAGCACTAGATGCTCACCAAACAGTTTTGGATGTCGATTGTATGGACACATCATATGATGCTTACAAGCAAGCAGTGGCTGATTGCAAGACTTCTCCCCGGAGTGGATCTTTGAGAGCAGATTTGACGCAATCCACCGTTAGATCCATTCCGACGAGGGACACCTGTCATCCTGCCGCTGTTTACTGTACTCATCACGTGGGAATCGACGACGTGAGGAACCGACAATGAACACTTTTAGGAGACTTTGCGACCGTGTTTGAAACTTATTGGTGTAGCACTAGATGCTCACCAAGCAGTTCTGAATGTCGGTTATATCACACATCATATGATGCCTTACAAGCAAACTGTGGTCGGATCCCGACCCCCATCCCCGGTGTGGATCTATGAGAGCAGATTTGACGCAATCCACCGTTAGATCCACGTCGGAGAGGCGGACCGGTCATCCTGCCGCTTGTAAGTGTAGTCATCATGAGGGAGTCGACATCGCAAGAACCCGACGATGTTCCAATTGGGACGTGCTCTTGTTTCATGATGTCCAGGTGCTTACGGGCGGTGCGTTCGATCCCCTCCTTGACGTGAAGTAAAGTGCGAGGGGATAGCTCAGGGTTCACACCAGAAGTGCGATTGAACTCGCACTTTGGTGGAGAAGCAGGCGCGCACTCCATCAGCGCGATGATTTAATATGGACATTGGCTTGTCATTTGTATATTCCCGGATGAAAATGTCATTAAATCCTTGTGTGGAGAAGACACATATCCATTCATACAAGTATCTTTTGTCATCGCAAACATCAAAATGGAAACATCTCAAGTTGCCTAGTGTTTTTCCAATGTGAAGTTGCAAAAAATTCATTTAATGGCAAATTGCAAAGTACAAAGAGGCGTTTCCAAATGTAATTGAATGCGAAAAATCATTCAATCCCACATTGCAAAGTACACGGAGGTTTTCCAAAAATCACAAAGTACATAGAGCCAATTTTACATTCGGCAGGACATGACTCAAATGACAATCTTCTGCACACTTTTTTCATTTTATGGATAAGACAAATGGTCTGTAAAAAAAATATCATTTTTTGCGAACTTGCGTAAATGATCAGTCTTCCAGTGAAAACACAGAAGGTCACAATTTCGATAAATCATCCATTTTTGCGAACGCCTCATATCGATCCTTCATCGCCAAACAACGTTGAAACACATGGGCCAAACACACATACATTCTAGGAATAGTACAAGTGATGATAATTTTTCCGAGCTTGCAGTTATGAACAAGATGGCGTTGACAGCACAGAAAGTAATCATTTTGGCAAATTTGTGGACATAAATGGTTTAATCGTAAATGTACGGCATCTCAAGTGCGAATACGTTTGCATTTCTCATACGGAAACAACAACCAGCATTCCGTGGAGAGCACGGGATGTATTCTGGGAATAACAAAATTTGGTGCATCGCTGAATCTGTAAAACAACTTCAAGCACACATACATTCTGGCGATAATTGGTTTCTGAATGGAGAACAAGTTCGCAATTCTCATATGGAACCAACAAACAACATTCATTGGAGACAAGCAGAGGGGGTGAACCGTAAAACGTGGCGGTACATGCAGAACAGGGGCGAGCGAAATCATATGAAAGCTGGGCGGTCGGGGTGGGGCGGGGGAAGGGGGCTTAAACATTACAAAGTCTCGCGAAAGAAAGAGATAAGCATGAAATAATTTGGCGACCAAGAAGAAATCGTTGATATCTTTCACCAATATCTTGCTAAAAGAACCAGAGTATCGAGCCCCACGAGCATGAGTGTCAACAATGTCAACAAGAGGACGAAGACGTCCCATGAGTAACAGAGGAGCACAACATGGAAACGAACAAACGCAGCACGATGTTGCCGAGGTCGTAGAGGACATAAGGAGAACAACCCGTAAACAAACAAAATGAGCACAAAACTGGGATATTCACATCCGATAGGTAAGCGTCTACTTAAAAGATATTGCACCACGTGGCTGGGATATTTACATCGGCATCTAAGCTTGTACTTCACGTAAGCGTCCGCTGCAACCCTCTAGCTGATGTTGCGCAGCAACACAGCGCTGTCGAAAGTTAGCACGGCGCTGCCGAAAGTCCTACGAGTAAAGATGACAGGTTTCTCGAAATGAAGAACCCTTAAAAAATTGTTAGAGCACGAGGCTGGGATATTCACATCGACACCTAAGTGTTCACTTGATCAAAACGTCCACTGCAATCCGGTACCTCATCAAAATAATAGCACAACTCGAACCGGCCGACTGCTAGACCAAGTGGGAATAGATTCGCACTTCTGCTTATGACCTTTCGAATAAAAAACTACGCGAATTTTAATAATAGGGGTATCATTCAGAGCCTTGGAGTATGTCCACCGTAATCCTCAGCCTGATGTTTGGAATGTCGCTTTGGGCTATCGGAAATGGTGGCGGATAGCTGCGTGCAAGAAATGAAGCGAAGGCTAGCATGAAAACACCGCAGCTCGACCCGTCCAACTGTCGAGGGACACCATGAACAACCACCTTGGGCTCCTAGAAATCCAGTTTCATTGTTTGACCATAATGACAAACTGCTTCGTCACGAAGGTATTGCGTGAAGTTCGCAATCACATCGGAACCACCATCGTCTTGTAGGAGGGAGTCGTAGTACTCCAGCCGTTGTTCTCGGACACACAATAGGGTCCAATGCACTCGATGTTTATGGACAGGAATCAAGACAATCTTGTACGAGCAAATATCCACATCTTTTGTCCATCTCGCAACCCTATCATGTCGATAGCCGCCACCGACAAGCTTGGTATAGAAAAAGGGATTGAAAATGTAAAGAAAGGGACACTCACGCAACGCAGGCAAGAAGGGCAAGTACGACTCCACCACCTCGGCGGAAAGCCATTCCCCTTGAACAAGAGTTTGAAGACTTTTTCTGCTCAACGGAATTGAACTGGCCCCTTTGCGAACCGAGGAAACCACCTCGTGGCCGTTGCTGAAATCTCCGCAGACGTCCTGCAACATTCTCAAGTCCGTAGTGCTAAGCTCTTCAGTAGGCAAAGAACGCGAAAACACGATGTAGCCCCAACTGCACAAACACTCACGAACAAGTGTGAGTAGTGACCAACATCACCGGGGCGAAATGACTAAGAACTGTCTGCCCTTTTCCCAGAAAAGTTGTATCCTCGACTGTTGAATATGTCCTTGGCGATGTACTTAGGACACGGGTCTTTCAAGACACCCCAATTGGCATCGTCATCAAACCCATCAGACAAAGCAGTAACGCTTTCAATAGACGCAGCCAAATGTTTCCGCAAACCTTCCTCCTTATTTATTCCACAAGCCTTCAGAACCCTGACAACTCTCTGGGAAAGGCGAGGCATTTGGACCCTTTTAAACAAACCTACACTTGACGACTTCTTTGGTAAAGCGGCCAATGACCTCCCTGAAAGACATTTCTCGCGCACGGCTTTTAAAGGCTTCATGGCCAGGGACATTGACAACCTCACACCTGTAAACATGGAAAAGAACCCACAACCCACAAGCTTTTTTTTAACAAGCGGTAATAGGTACATGAGCCCATCACATCAATTTGGACAAATACAGAGTTGGCTAGTGACAAATATGCCAGTGCTCCTATTCACAAACCTTACCGTGGTCGGGCGCCCTTTGAGGGAAATCGCCCTCCTGTCGCGCCACTGCGCCAAGGTCCATGGAGAATTCGACGTTCTGCACTTCGGCCACGGGTTGTGTCGCTAACCAGCTCGGTGGCAGTTGAGTCGCTAGGCAAGTCGATGGCTTCATGAAGTACCATTTCCCAACCGGTACTGAGGACAAACACTGGATCACCCTGTTCTTCACTGCAATGGGTGAACGAAGAATCATGATATTTCCGCTCTGGATCCATCTTGATGCTGACGGCCATCTCACCGCCTTTCACGGAGGATTCGACGTTGTGCACCTCGGCCATGCCTGACTCGCTAACCAGCTCGGTGGCAGCCGAATTGTTACCCAACTCAATGGCTTCATGAACTACCATTTCCCGACCGGTACTGAAGATAGACGCTCGATCACCCTGTTCTTCAACGCAACGGGTGGGCGAAGAATCATCATCTTTTCGTTGTGGATCCATCTGGATGCCAACCGTCACCTGACCGCCTTCCACCACGGGTTCTCCGCCTTTCTCATCGCCATGAACCTGAGCTTCCACCACGGGTTCTTCTTCGCCTTCATCATCGCCAAGAATGAGAGCTTGCACGAACGTCCACTGACCTCCCTTAACGACACCCTCTCGCGTCGCGGCCACAACCGAACGATTGTGCAGAACCGATTTGGATGTTCCGATCACCAGCACTCCTGCGTCGAGCTCCTTCACGACTTCGTGAGCCGGCCAGTGTTGAGTCTCCTCTTCCCGCTGCAGAGCATGTGTTTCCCCCGGAGCTCCTGCACTCTCGCTGTCAGTGTCCACAGACGCACCCTCCGAAGCATGACGTTCACACTCGCTACCCCCGCTCTCCAACACTTTGCGAGACTGCCAGCATTGAGTCTCCTCTTCCTGGTATACAGCACCTGTTCCCGGAGAGTGCTCCTCTTCTCAGGAGCCGTTGCACTCTTGCTGTTATCGTCGACTGGCGCACCCTCCGAAGCATGACGTTCGTACTCGCCAACCCCGGTCTCCAACACTCCTGCAGCGGGTCCCTCCAGCAAGTCGCAAGCCCGCCAGTCTCGAGTCTCAACATATGAGAACGGTGGTGGGCAGGGGAACCCTGTGCCCAACTGAAGATGCGGGGGGTAGGACGTCACATTTTCTTGCGCGCTGAGGAGCACTTCTGGTGGCAGGCCTCCAGGGTGACGTCAACAACTCCGAATCTATTCGGAGTTTGTGGCGCTCGCCCGAGCTGAGGGAACTGAAGGTTGCACTTTCGCTCCTTCGCAATGCAGGTATCCCGCCCTCCAGGCAAAACGAAGACGCAGTTCCTATCAAGGAATAGTCTCGCCGCTCAGGAGATGCTGCCGTATGCTGCAGACGTCCGCCCTACGCAGTTCCTATCAAGGAATAGTCTCGCCGCTCAGGAGATGCTGCCGTATGCTGCAGACGTCCGCCCTCTTTCAGAAGCAAGGTGTTGAGCACATGACACCTCTACTGCGCACGATAGGATGGACTCTCCTCGGCATCGGGAAACAAAGTCCTCGCAGAGAAGTGTGAATCTACTCGCACTTGACCAGACCTCAGGGTGGCCATCGGCATCCTTCATTAGCATGACCCACTTTCCATTCTGCACAGCAGGTTGGAATATCCTCAGGTGCGAGATGACGTTGTGTCCCTAGACATCCTCTGACGTGAACGGGTGATACTTGCCGAAGAAGACGAGTCTGTCATTCTCATAGGTATCATGGTCCACAGGGAGCCTATCACAAGGTTTGTAATCATAGTCTCTCTCTTCCTCCCCGTCATGAGACGATTGGTCATCGACTGGTTCGCGTCGAAACACACGCTTCAAACCGGCAGGGGACGTGCTATATCTCCGAGGACCACCTTCCCCTTCATCACCAACCTGTCCAACCACGCGAGGAAGTGGCATGAACTCGAAATCGAAGGTTTTGGAGTCGCTCAGCTCCTCCATGTCTTCAACGTCGAAAGGGTCCTCCTCATCAAACAATGCCTTGTAGTTTTCGAGGGTGAGCGGTTCGGCCATCAAGAAGTAAACGTGCTCCAGTCTTTTCAGGAAATCCGAGACAGACTCCCTGGGTGCATCGTGGTACCCATTCAGCACACCGAACACCAGGTTTCTTCGTCGACTATATTCGAGGTCGGTCTGAGCAGGCGGTCCGTTTTGGAAAAGGAAGTCCCAAACCTCCGTCCTTTTGCTCCCCGACAATTTCCAATGCATGTCACGTTTGGGATCCCAGTTTCGTTTGCCGGTGGTCTGGACAAAAGTGAAATCATTGCGAGTGTCTGCCACGCGTGTCTTCATGAACTCATTAAGGTAATCGATCATGTTCGCCTCGTTCTCCAACGCAACGACGTTCCGACCATTGAGCACGAGCTTCCACATGACAGACGCATGCGCCTTCCTAAAGAAAAAAACAGTTTGCCCAACTCTGCAAAAGTTTTCGAGTAGACCAAGTAGATGGGACGGGTTCCACTCCCTCTCCCCGTAAGCAGGTCCACGAGCACTTGTCACGCCGCCGTCCTCCCACAGGCTATGAGGGAACCTGTCCTCGTCCACCATGTCGAAGCATGCCATAACCTGTCCTGAAGGGTCCAACGAACAGACAGCTTTCGAGCGGGCCGCCACCGCATGTTTCGCCGGATTTGGACCATGAGCACGAGAAGCCTTTGTCGGGCTGCTGGCCGGGTAGACTGCGACAGTGTTGCCTGCCAGGTTCTCGCCATTGAAAATCACGTACAGGCGGTCACACTCCTCAACCAGCATATTGCCTTCCCGGAAAGTGACCTGCTTTTGTGCATAGCACACCCACTTCCCTGTCCTGACGTGATGGAGGCAAAGCCTGGCCATGTCTTTCAAGAAACTGAGCTCCCAACGAGCGAGGAAAAAAAACACAAGTACCACTGCGTTGGCGACCGTGTTTGGAGAACGCCTTGCAAGTTGGTGAAATCGTCTTCTCGCCAGTCTGCGAGGAGTGTGGGATCACATAAATCGAGGGCGTACAGGTTGCACACGTAATGTCGCACAATCTCACAGATCTCAGTGATACGGCTGTGAGCTTGGGAAGGCGGGCAAGCTAAAGGAATAAGGCTGGTCACCCGGTTGAGGTTGTGCCATTTGATGTGCCTCACATCCTCGCTGACCCTGATCGTGTTTCGAACGTCTTCTTCAATCCGTCGTAAGATGGAACGGACAGACTTTTTGAAAGATTTAGGGAACCTGTCATCCTCGTACATTTTCTTCGTGTCGTCGAGGGACTCCTTCTCGTGCGGAAGAGAACGTTCGCAAGTGTTCACGTACGCCTTCGCGCCCTGGAAATGCTTTCGCAGTTCGACCCACACCTGTTTCATGAGGCCCTGCGGCCCGAACTCCTCCAGAAGCCGCCCCTCGGTCTGGAAAAAACGGCTCCCGTAGCGACAAACACCTTCGTCCTCCTCCGTTTCAAAGAACAAGACGTAATGAAACAAACGGAGCATCAAGCGGTCCACTTTCCTCGTCACGACCATGTCTTTAATTCCAAGTTTATGTTGACGTTTTAGATGCCCACCTGCCGATTGCACGAACACTCCCCTTAGTGCGAGAATGTCGTCGAGGATCGACAATTTCTCGACATCGGTCATGTGGGCGAGACACTGCCAACAGAACATGTCCGGCTCCTTCACGACCACGAAAAACTTGTCGTCCCCTTGCGTTTTTTTTTTGGTCCGAGGCGTGGGACCCGGACCAGCCACCCCATCTTCGTTTCACCAGCCGCCCCTTTCGAGCCCTATTTCCGAAATTGCTTGAAGACCCGGAGATTTGTCTGGCATGTATTTGCCCGGCCTCGACAATGGCGTCTTCCCGTCGCCGCCCAACAACTTCCCCTCCGCCCATTTCTCGTAGAACTCCATGCCTTTACGGAAAAAGTTATCACCGGCCGTCACGAGCGGCATCCACTGCCTCAATGCATTGCCAACGACAACGACATACTCCTTGTCCGAGAGCGTTAGCATTTTTTTTGCCAACGTCCAGTGAGTGTCGTTCTGACTCTTTCCCAAAAGCAGTTTTTGGAATTTGAAAAACGCTTGTTTTTCCGCCTCCTTGCCTGAAGGGTTCCCTTGAATGGCCACCGGCCTTCCTTATTCTCCCATGTCTCCCGCATATCCTCAAACGCGGCCTTCTGCAATCGCTGCTTAGACATCTTGTGTCTCGTGTTCTCGTTGAGACTGACCTGCACATACCCCGCAAACTCTTCGTCGGAGAACCACACTACTCTCGCCGGTCACGAGTGCATCTTCCACAAATCGAATATTGGCTCATCCACCAACTCCTTCACAGCAGCCACGGTGTGTTGTCCGTTGAGAGGGTAATAGTAGTACTTGTCCTTGTCCTCTGGCTTGAAGACATCTTTGTGAACCCTGTCAGCTTTCTCCGGCCTATGCGTCACCGGCTTGTAGATGGGTGCCAGAACCAAAGGGTTTTTCGTCCAGACCTTCCCCTTTTCCTCGTGGAACTGACTTAGCATCGCAGCTTTGATGTCGTCTACATTTTCGCGATTGAGACTGCAATGGTTGTAATAACTTTCCCAAGGCGGGATGTCGCAGACCTTCATGGGGTCGATGAGCAGTTGGACAGGGAACTCCTTCTCCACAATATCACCGTTATCGTTCCGCTCGTTATACTGCCCACCGACAGCCTGTTCGCCACCGCTCGCCGCCTCAGCAGTCTTCCTCCTTCGAGGTTTCTTCTGGCCATCGCCTTCTTTAGCTGCCACTTTCCTTTTGGATTTCCCCGAAGGTTCTCTCGTGGCCGCAACGCCTGGATGAGCCGAATATCCTCCACCCATGGCTTGTCCTTCGCGGATGGTCAAACCGCCGGGCCTCCTCGCTTTCTTACTTGTCGTCGTACCGTCTTCCTTCGACGGCCTCGTTCCGACTCCATGTTCTTGTCAGCCACGCATCCTAGGCTCCCTGTTTCCCGAGGCACGTTCTCCGACGTCACCTCCATCCCCGCCCATCATTGACTCTGATTGTCCTTTCATCCTCTTTACAAGGCGGGTTTCCTTCGCCACCTCCTCTCACACCATCCTCTGTGGCTCACGCTTCTTCTCCGAAGAAGTCGGCTCCCCGCCAGAGCTTTCACGTACAACGCTCATCCCTTCAGCCTCACTCCCTCCAACCTCTTGCCCCGATCTGCCGGATTCTCTTCCCGTCTCATCTCGAAGCTAATACGTGTTGCCCTGGCAGCGGACCTTGAGGATTTTCGGAAATCCAGCCCGGAGAGTCCCTGCCTCTGGAGAATGCAAGTCTGACGTGTTCCCAGGAGCATCCGGGGCGACCTGCGTGTGAATTCTGCGCGCGTGCCCCTTGCCCCGACCCTCTGCGTCGTGAATCGCACTCCCGTGCCCCACTGGCGTCTCACAGTTTCTTGAACCAAGCCTGACAACCCCTCATGGGCTGGCAGAAGCCGGAAAACATATTCTCGCGGAAGAACCAGATGTTCTTTCGGCACCTTCAGCGCGGGACCGAGGTATTGCACTGGTAGTGGAAGACGCTTGCCATCGTAAAGCCCTTTGAAGTGAGGGCACAGCGTCATGTTCGAGCCGTACCCCGCGAAACTCTTGATGGCCACTATCACACCCTTAACATTTCTGAAAGGAAGTCTACACTGGTCGTACAAGACGTTAGTCTGCAGCTTGAGCAAACCTTCAGAAATCTTCTTGAACGACACGATGGTACCGAGAGGAAGAACGTCGTCCGCTCCCTCAGCGTCCGGAAAGCAAGTGGGTCGCATGAAAACAGCTGGCCCAAAACGGTTCCCCTGAACAACGAAGTCCAAAAACCATTGTGCTTCCCTTGTATGGAAATACGGAGAAGTAGATTGTTGAAGAGGTCGTTCCTCCCCGGGGGCATATGGCCCAGCGCTTGTGGATGTGTTCTTTGTGGACGCCATTGTACTCCCACCCGTTGACCAATACGCCCAACCTCAGACCAAATCGGATGATCGGGAGGAAAGCAACGAGGTTTTTCGAACACTATAGAAGCAAAGTGCGAACTAACTCGGACTTAACGAAATAGAGGACGAAAAGGACGTAAGAGATGGGTGTTCGAAATGCACACGAAGTCACAACAATTGGGCAAAGGAGAGGAAAGGCAGCGTTCCTCTGGCAGAGTGACTTTGGAGGGAAGACAACAGTTCCACGGAAAGAGTGCGAAGAACTCGCTGTCCTAGAGCCGCGGAAGAGGTGATTTATCTTCAGGAAAGTGCGAACTAACTCGGAGTTCTGGGAACGAAGTCATCTACAACAAGTACCACATGGGTTTCGACAAGGGGGGACTGGGCAGAAGAAAACCGACGAATGAGATTGGTGTTTGAAATGCAAACGAAGTCCGAACAATTGCGTAAAGTTGAGGAAATACAACACTCCTCTGGCAGAGTTAGTTCGGAGGGAAGACAACAACTCTTCGAAAAGTTTGCGACCCGACTCGCTGCCCTCGAAACGAGTAAGATGTGGTTTATCGACAAGTGCAAAGGGTATTGACAAGTGCGAACTAGCTCGCATTTCTGGAGACAAGACAACAATTGCAACCCGCGGTACTGGAAACATGAAAGTCACGTTTAAGAAAAGACGGCTTATCTTGGGGAAAGTGCGAACTGACTCGGAGTTCTGTAACTGAAGACCCGAAAGACGCACGACATGGGTATCTACAAGTGCGAACTAACTCTCAGTTCCGGAGACGGAGGTTAACAATTTCTCCAGCAGTGTTGGTTAAGAAGTTCGAACTCACTCGCAGTTGTGGAAATAAAAAATTGACTTTAATGAAATAGGTGTCCAACCTTGGAAAAACTCCGAATTGACTCGCAGTTGTCACTCCTCAAGTAGTGTAGGTCGCAAACTGCGAACTGACTCGCAATATATATATATATATATGTATATATATATATATATATATAAGGTCGGCGGCCTCACAAGTGAGAGGTGAGCGAAAATCGAGAATTGATTCGGGGTTCAGTTTAGAAACTAGGTATTGAATCGGGGTTCACCATGTGCAGCGATGACGACAAGTCGTGAAGGAAATCGAGCAGCTTTATACAAACGTTATCATGGCTATGGCGAAAGGTCATCGAGCTGCGAAACGCGGATCGGCTATGGCGGACGGAGATGGAGGGTGGAGAAAAGACAACAGAACACCTCCGCTGGCGAAACAACAAAAACGGGAATTGATTCGCGGTTCAACATGCGGCAACTGCGGCGTTATATCCTGCAGGTAGAGACGAGGCATCTGAGAATCTGTTTGGACATCGGACACAGAACAAGATAACTCAAGTTACAGAATCTTACCTTCGTCGTGTGTTGAGCGAGCAACGTCGGACGGATATGGATGTGCGACCACCGAACCAGCTATGGTGGAGGGATATCGAGCTAAGAAGAGCGAACCGGCTATGACGAATGAAAATCTAGCCACGAAAAGCGAGCTACGGAGAGCAAACCGAACACAATGCAGCAACTGCGGACGGAGGGAAGAGCGAAGAGCAAACGGGCTATGGCGGAAGGGGGTGGCGGCTGAAGACAAAATATCAGAACGCGCGCGGAAGCGATAGCGCGACTTGACTTGTGGAGCAACAACAAAAGGGATAATGCGAGCACGACAACGCCTTTTATACTTTTCTGCAGCATGCCTCACGTCCGGATCAAGGTGGGGCCGTATTGATTCGCATATCACACGCCTGGGACCATAAAACGGCAGGGTCAATAAATGGGTAAGAGGTACCGAATATTGTCGGCCGCCGATCAACAATTTTCAACGGCGCAGATGAACGGAGCCACTTACATGCCAATGGCCCCGAAATCTCCGTCCACGCCGGCGTGCAACGATGTGACAGTTCCAGAAAGCAAGGGGCAGGCAAGGCCATTTTCGCAGTTGTAATCTGGACCGTCGATCGGCATGATCCGACGCACGAGGTCAGGCGCAAGAATCTATAAGGAGCGGCGATTTGTTGTACGCCGAGGCGGTTCGTTGCGCGCCGAGGCCAGGCGACGATTTATGTCGCGCCGAGGCGCGGCGATTCGTTGTGCGCCAAAGTCAAAAACACCAAAAATCTACAAGTTCCGGTGTCACTGTCATTCGGTCATTTTGCAAATGTCAACGGCGTTGGATATCGATGCGCTTAGCCATGCACCATCACCATCGATGCGCTTAGCTCATCGCCATCGCCAAGGCTCGCCATGCACCATCACCATTGCGACACAAAGTTATATCCCCCATCACAGTCGTCGCGCTCGCCTGACCATTGCAGCGCTGACAATCGCCGTCGCTCCCATCGAAAGGCTTTGGCCATCCTTATCGCTGCCATCGCAACGCTGACAATTGTAACGCGTTCCATTGCTGCGCCATCTTTCTCATCGGTACTCCACCTCTCTCCATCGGTACTCCATTGCTCTCCACCGCAGTGTTGGCCATCCCCCATCGCAGCCGTCGCGCTCGCCTGACCATCGCAGCGTTGACAATCACCATCGCTCCCATCGCAGCGCTGGCCATCGCTATCGCTGCCATCGCAGCGCTGGCCATTGTAACGCGTTCCATCGCTGCGCTATTTTTCTCATCGTCACGCCATCTCTCTCCATCGGTGCGCCATTGCTCTCCACCGCAGCGCTGGCCATCGCTATCGAAGCCCTGGCCAGTGTTATCCCATCACAGCGCTGGCCACCGCTATTGCTGATTTGTTGGGCACCTTGGCGCCTTCGCGATCTCTTCTCCATCGCTGCGCGATTTTTGTTCATCGCGCCTGCGCGATCTCTCTCCATCGCCGCATGATCTCCATCCATCGCTGAGTGATCACTCTTCATCTCACTCCATCACTGTGCGATCTCTCTCGACCACCAGGCAACCTCCATCCCTGCGCCAGAGGCTCTCCATCACTCCTGCGCGATCTCGTCATCGCCATTGTATTGTTGTTTCAGGCCGTCGTCGGTGCAGCCGCCCATCACAGTGGAATCACACGAAACAAGTGACAAGTATGCTTAACGAAGGTTTAACGCGATGGATGTCACTTTGATAATGAAACTGATGTTGTGCAATAACCAATCGTGGTCATCGTTGCGTCAACGCTCTTCATCGGCGCGCCATCTATCTCCACCGATGCGCGATCGTTAACCATCGCAGTGCCTTCTCTCTCCATCGGTGCGGCATCGCTAACCATTGTTGCGCGTCCTCTCTCCATCTCTCTCCAACGGTGCGCGATCTCTTCCGACCTTTCTTCATCTCCTGACCTTTCGTCATCTATCTCCATCGCTGCGCTATCTTTCCCAATCTATCTCCATCGTCGCGCTATCTATGTCCTTCTCTCTCCTTCGGTGCGGCATCTTTCTCCATTGTTGTGCTATCGTTCACCATCGCTGCGCCTGCTATCTCCATTGTTGCGCCATGTTTCTCCATCTGTGCACAATCCCTCTCCCTCGCTGCGGCATATCTCTCAATCAGTTCGCGATCTCTTTCCCTTTCTGCGCCATCTACCTTCTTCCCCGGAATACACAACGCGCGTTCATTATAGTTGTCTTTAGACTGAAAGATGCCCCGAATTGAGCTGTAATCGGACCCCCTTTGTGTGTGTGTGTGAGAGAGAGAGAGAGAGAGACAAAGATAATTTGTGTCCTTGTTGTGTCCAGCCTCTTTTCCGAAGGATCCCTATAGCTGGGATCCTACGTCATGCAGACGTACACTTCAAACTTATCTTTCCTGACCGTGGGCAGAGAATATATAGTCTGGATTCGAATTTAGGTCTGTGACTCTCTGTTATGGGTCACTATTTCTGTGTTTTCTCGTTTTTCTTTTCTTTCCTCGTTTTCCTTTCCTTAGGAATACCTTCTTTACTTCAAACTTACCTTTCCTGAGCGTGGGCAGAGAATATATAGTCTGGATTCAAATTGAGGTCTATGAATCTCGGTTATGGGT